CTCTCTCTCTCTCTCTCTCTCTCTCTCTCTCTCTGTGTGTGTGAGTGTCTCTCTCTCTCTCCTCCACACTCCACCCCTAAAAAAAAAACAACTAACAAACAAAAATCAGGGCAGCTGGCTACTCACCCCTCGCACGTGATGATGCCGTAGTGCAGACCGGTGGCCTTATCATTGCAGATGGCGCAGACCAGCGCCTCCTCGCCCTCTGACTCCTCCCCTTTGACACCGCCGGCCTCCATGTTGTTGCTGTAGCCGGGCACGCCGGCCGCTGTGGCAGCAGCTCCCTCTGCCGGAGGCGTCGGCCTGGGTTTAAGGTTGTGCGGGTTCTCCGCCAGGTGGCCGCGGTACACGAAGGCGCCGTTGGTGTAGTGCGAGATGAACTCGGTGTCCTTCTCCAGGCGCGTGGCGTTCGAGTCCTCCTTCTTGGGCTGCTTGAACTTGGGGCTGGGTAAGTTCAAGGTCGGGTAGTCGCCGGCGGTGGCCGTGCCGGGGATGATGACCTGTGGTTTGTCCAGTTTCAGGACATCCTCCGTGCTCACGGCTTTGGGCCCGTCCAGGGTCGGGTAGGTGATGATGGAGGCGCCGTGGGTGAAGGGTGAGTCGGCCGCCGATACGAGATAGCCGTCGGTAGGCGCGGCGATGAACATGGGCGTGGGTACAGGCTGGAACACGCCGGCACTGGAGATAGACATCATGGGGATGATCTTCATGCCGGATGTCGGGTGGGCAGCGAAGCCGTTGGACAGCTGCATCAGGTAGGCTGGCGGACAGCTCAGGATCATCGGGTTGCCCGTCATGGCTGAAGGGGAGGAGCCGCTTGTTGTGGGCGGTGCTGAGGCTGTGGGCGGGGTTTGCGACGACGGCGATGAGGACGGGGTCACAGTTGTTGCAGCAGCTGGCTGTTGTTGTTGTGTCTGTTGTTGTTGCTGCAGCTCTGCCTTGGGCTCTTCAACGGTAGTAGATGGTGACGTGTTGTATGAAGATGAGAAGGTCAAGGATGTAGAAGAAATGGACACACCGCTGTCTTGTGATGACGACGTAGAAAACGTCGGCGACGGTGATGATGATGCGGGGGAGTTGGAGGAGATGGACGAGGAGCCCGACGACATCGACAATGAGCACGACGACGACAATGACGAAGAGGACGAGGCGGCCACAGGGAAAGAGTTTATTGTTATTGATGCGGCAGAGGACGCCACACAGTCTTCAGCCACGGGCGACGACGACGCCTCACTACTACTGGAGGACGTCATCTCCTTAGGAGACTTCTGACCGCCAGCAAACTTCTGCTGCTGCGTAGTCGTAATGGCCGACTGGTCGTTTTCTCCAGCTCCCTCCTCTTCCTCCTCCACATCTCCACCACTACCCGAGGAAGAATCCTCCTCCTCCACCTTCACCTCCCCGCCCCCAGTACCGGGCAAGGAGAGCGCCTGCCTCTTGGCCGGCGGGGCGGTGTCAAAGTCTGAGGTCCGGTCCGACACGTAGGCGCTGTCGGCGCTGCCCGAACTGACGTCACTCTGCTGGTCGCACTCGGACACCTCGGAGAAGCCCAGCTGGCCGGGCATGACGGCGTCCGACTCGCTCAGGATGTCTCGCACGCGCTTGCGCTTGAGCTTGAGGTCCCGGAAGAGTCCGGCTGGGGAGGGGTTGCTTACCTCCTCCTGGGAGGCTGCCTCCATGCTCAGGGTGAAACTGGCCACGGGGACATAGGGCGGGAACACCGCGGTCATCTACACACACGTGGGGAGAGAGGGAAAAATGAGGACGTTAGTCAAAGCTCCAGCTTATTGAATGATCATTTTAAATAAAGAAAAGGACATCTACCCAATTAAAGATTGTTAACAGCCATATTTGGAAACATTGAACTATTTTATTAATCTAGCGACGGAACAACGAGGACACCTCTGCACGTGTAGCACTGTCACGGTGACGGCTTGCTGGACTCAGGTTGAGAGAGAGAGGGAGAGG